ACGCAAACATAGCATAGCGGACATAATATATTTTCTATGACAAGTTACTGCCAGAGCTCAGATAGAAAATATGCACACTACTGTGAGATGTTCATCAGGGCAAGACTAAGGTGAATAACTAAGTAGCACCAGATGTAAATCAAAGAACATACATGCATACAACCATAAGTACATCGAATGCAAATATACAACACGACATGGTCACAATACATATAGATTTGTATGAAATGTAAGCCAATAGAATTGTACCGAAGAACAACACAATAGATACAACTGAGCGAAAGATAAGTTCAAGAAGTAATTTCGGAATGAGAAAGAAACCTGGTGGTGCTCGATGGCGACAAAGTATTTGGTAGATTTAGTTCACTATTCTGCAAAAGACTTACGTCTGGTTTGGGAGACGTGTGATTGAACACAGGAGCAAACATCTCTTCATCCTATTCTTCTCAACGTGAAGTTCCTTGAACTTTAGTTGATTTCTCTCGTGATAGATTCTTATCGACAATCTCCAAACCATCAACAAACTTTGCCTTCGAAGACGACAATTACTCTTGGTCACTCAGACAAACGCTTAACCATCTAGAGAGTAACAGCTCTCAAGAGTAATAAGTACAAGAACTCTCAACTTAGATCTTTGCGATGCTCAACCATTGTTTAAGTTATCTGACTCTTGTTTTTTCTCTCAGAATGATTTACTCTAATCTTTCAGAGAGAGTTTCTCAATCAATCTTCTCACACGCCAATTTTACTCGACATGTTCAATGGCTTGCGGACCGGCCAATGGTCAATCGACACGTTCCCAACAATCAGATTTCAAACTCACACGCCAATTTTACTCGAGGAACAAGCAAAGTTGACTCCTCACCTAAATCATTTCTTTTGCAGCCCAGAAGAACTTCGTCTCTGGCTGGCAATAAATAACTTTGCGCATGGAGATATTTCTTTTCACTCGCTTGGGATAAGTTTCGGTTAAGCATAAAACTAGACAAAAGTATCAAAATATTTGAACCCCTCTTAATAGTATGGTGATCCTATGACTCAAATTAAGAAAATTAAAGTAAGAAAAAACTATGTTTTCGCTTCGTCTTCATTCTTCTTCACTGCAGTCAAAATCTATCGGACCGCACTCCTTAGCAATTGCTTCACTTTAGCAGCATTTTTGGGGGTCTCCTCTGACACGCAATCTTCTCGGTAGCAAACTCCTCGAAGCTTAGCAATCTTCTCTCATGCACAGATAACACTCTCAGAAGTTTATAACAAACTTCTTCAAAGATTATATCAATCTTCTCCAAACTCCAGTGACTATATCTCTCTGTGTGCACTAGCAAACACATTAACCACTCACTATTTCTGTCCAACAATCTTCAAAACCTTCAGGGGCACTCGATTACACCAACACGCATCTATGGCCCGGCCGACACGGCCGAACTTTAGTGCCCGCTTGACCGACCCAAACGAATAAAAAACAAACACATTGTGTGTCTGTTTGAGTCACATGGTGGAGTTGCCCTTAGTGTGGTGATTGTTAAACAACTACGGTAGATCGGCGTTCTTTACATTCCGCATTCCTTAGCCTTAGAAATTTTGTCAACCAAAAACCCTTAGATTCGTTGCCATTCTTCAAAAAGAAATTATGGCCATCAAGTATTTGGAAGGTCATTTCCTTCGTGTTTTGGCAGAATCAAGTTGTTGTAAGCATGAGCTAAGAATGTGAGCATGTGGCAATTACACTGGATCGATTGGGACTCTCTGACCAAGCCAAAGATTGCGGGCGGGATGGGGTTAGAAAGTTGGAACTGTTTGATCTAGCTCTTCTTGGGAAGCAGGGGTGGATGCTAATAACGAACCCAAGTCTCTTTGCGTGCGAGTTTTAAAAGGAAAATACTTCCCCACAAGTGAGTTTATGGACGCTACAATTCCTAAACATGCGTCAGCCACCTGGAGGGCAATAGTTGCAGGGAGACAGGCCTTGAAGATCGGCTTGGTAAAAAGAATTGGAGATGGCTCGTCCGTGTCCACTTGGCATGATAGCTGGATCCCAGGTCTCCTCTCGCTACATCCATCAGCTCAAATCAGAAATGCTAACATTCCTCATGTGGCAGACCTGATTGACGTTGAAACGGGTTTATGGAAGACTGAGTTGGTGAAAAAAAACTTTACAACCCTAGAAGCTGGTGCTATTTTAAACATCCCTTTGGGTGTTGGAGGAGGGGCTGATTCATGGGCATGGGCTGCCGAAAAGTCTGGAAACTACATTGTAAAATCCGCGTACCGCGCTCTGGTGACCCATAACGAGCATTCAGCTCTAGGGGAAGGGACGGTGACAGAATCTTCAGAGACTCAGAAACAGTGTTAGTCTAGACTTTGGAAGCTCAAGGTTGTGCCAAAAGTTCGTGTGTTTTGGTGGCTAGTGCTACGAAAAATTCTAACTGTTGAGAGCACTTTGAAGCACAGACACATTGCTCAATTGGCACGCTGCAAAGTCTGCCTTTGATGCAGATGAAGACTTGTATCATGCATTGATAAAGTGCACACATGCAAAGATGTTCCGGAGAGAGGCGAGGGAGTGGCTCAACATTAAGCTTCTAGAGCTCCATACAGCAACTTGGTCTCAGGACATTTTGTGTGACTCCAGATTTGAGAAAGATTGCATCAAGATTAATGTTGATGTAGGTATATCAATGGAAGCCAGGTCACAGGAGTAGGAGGAGTTGCTCGATCATCCACGACTTACCTCGATGCCTGGTGCAAGCCGGTCCATGGCGTCACTGACTCGCTTGTTGCAGAGGCTCTTGCCCTCCGTGAAGGTGTAGTCTTCGCAAAGCTTCGTGGCTTTGAGCAAGTACAAATGGAGACTGACAGTCAAGATCTGGTCGATCTCTGGAACTCGCGCCGTTCTTCGCGCTCTTTGATAGCGCCAGTGCTTCTAGATATTGAAGGGTTAGCAGATAATTTTTCCTCTTTTAGTATTCATCATGTAAAGAGGCATCCTAATGTACCCGCCCACTTGTGTGCGAAAAATGCTTGCACACTGGAGATGACAGATTGTTGGATGTACTCTTCCCCTGGTTTTCTGGTGACTCGCCTGATGGCGGACAC